GGGGGGGGGGGGGGGGGGCGCTCGAACGGTACTTGAATTTGCTAGACATTCCGTGCTTCGAGTGGCATGTACAGGATCCTCAGCCAGTTACATAATTCAGGACGTGTGGTGCCTCTAACTACTTCTTTCAGATTTGGGAGTGCTCAAATGAAGGGCTAAATGTACTGGCATACGAGGGTCATCGCAAAAGATTCTGTTAGATATCTGTTAAATATTTTTGGTCCCCCCTAAAAATTTTACTGACCTGAAGGCTGCGAAAAGATGAACTCGCGTCAGTCTAGGCTCTTTAAACAACAAAATAATGAGAAAAACAAATCAAAAATGATAAGTAAAGCATAGATCAATGATCTGGGGATCCCATGAGGATCGTAAGAAACAGCAGGAGCAATAGAAAGCTCCGAGTGAGATCTTTTCAAGGTATTGGGAATCAAACTAGCGTTGGTGGGAGACTGTTGCCAGGGGTGAAAATTTTATCAAACAAAAAGAAATGTGAGATATGTGCAGGAGAAGTTTCGGAAATAGAACGTTCTAGTACTTCCTTCCGCTCTGCCCTACAAAACACCCCGAACCGGATCATCCGATCATTGGTGTTTAGTTATGAATGGGTCGAGGCGATTACATAAGTGGCGAGAGTTCCGGTCGAATAAATTGCCATCGAATTGGCCGGGGTAAACATTAAACATCTGTAAAACTGCATTTTCTACTATCTATTTATGGAAATCCAATTTCAGGGTCTATACTATTCATACTACAAAACGATTATCGAAGCACCATCATTTCTGGATGGTTTACGTCAAATAACCCACGACAATGTGACTGAATATGGGCATACTATCAACACATTGAAACGGTTCAATCTCTATCCGGAGGTGAGTGCTCTCGTGCTAAGCTAGCAACGGACGGTGATAAATTGGCCATTGGAAGGGAGAAGCGGATAAACCCGTTTTCATTCACGTAATGCTTCTTCAATCACTTCTTTCTTCTGTTGTTGTGATACGGAAGCGATCAGAATCGCTAGGACGGCACATATTTCTGCACCGATCAACTTTTTCTGAAGTTTTATCGACGAGTACCAAGCCAAACTAGCTCCCCATCTTTCGTAGGCAACAGTGGTAACGGGTCTGATAAATCACTGACGTCCAACGTTACCAAATTCTTTTCGTTCTGCTTAAAATTCGTTGATTGAAGAGCTTTGGCATTCAAAATCACCTCGAAAATTATGAAGAGTAACATGAATAGCTCACTGTTTCGAAAACCACGCCCATACACGAACTCCGCCCCTTCTCCGGTATAAACATGAGTGGCTATGGTATTAGAGTCTTGAATAAACAAGGATTCAAAATGCTATATATGTATTGTGCAAAAAAAAAGTTTGGAGAAGATTACCTTCTCCAACTGCTCCACAAAACAGAATTTCTGGTAAATAGGGAACGAAACTCCTTACATTCTTCCCGGATATTCATGATAGACTCCCTCATATGAACGGATACTTCGGGATCTTACCAAAATTAATTTCCTATCAGCCGCCGCTGCTTCCTTCCAGAGGAGGAAGTACTCCTAGCGGTTTTCATTTGTTATGAGCTTCATTCCTGGTTATTTGCCAAATTCAGCTCATAAATTGGTTAGCTCTGTAAAAAAAACTCATTGAAATTTCCTTATTCATTTTCAATGATCGATAAAGGACAGTTGGCAATAAATGAAGGTTTCTGCAGCATTAAAAGGTCCAAGGAAAACTTCATTGCCAAAACTTATGATCTGTGTTGTAAAGAGACATTTGTTATCGTGGGGAAATGAAGTTTTTGTCCCTACATATTGGCTTCTGAAGCCTTTCTCGGATCTATAGATTTGGCGAAGAATCCAGTCAATTCCCAGACAATATTTTCAACAAATCGTATAACTGCAAGAACTTTGAGAACGGGAATGCAAGTATTACAGAAAGCTTTATGTTTGATAAGCAGAACTAAATTTGATAGCAGAACTAAGTTTGAATTCTTCGGTTAAAGTCACATTTCACCATAAAAATAGTCTCTGAGATATCCCACTGAATTCTGTGGCCCTCAGGATAGCACATGGGACACTGACGAAAAAATACCGAGACAGGGCTCAATAGGGGCTCGAATACCGGCTTGACTCACGTACACACACCCAAAAATGGGCTTGTTATGATGGCCTTGTTGAGGCTGCACCACTCGCAATGGTGCACACATATTGAAAAATATCAACAAGTGGGTATGACCCATGCAAAGAAACGTGAGAGGTTCGGAACGCTTGCAAGGGTACATGTATGAACGTCCTGCATCATCAGGAGCCTTTCTGCAGCAGAACTTCCTATGCTTTACCTTACATCAGTCAGCACTGCGGAGAGTACTGTAAAGACCGCCGTATTGTCCCAGAATTTGAAATCGTATAAAATCAGTTATGTACGCGAATTCAAGAAAAGGGCTTGGGAGGTGTTTCAACGTTTTATTTTGCTAGCTTGTGTGGGACTGAGCTCTCTCACTTGACAGAAGAGCCTGGTTTCACCTGCCAAACCTTAATTTGCTGACATCAGTCTAACTAGTCCGAAAAAACGGATTTCGGATTTAACAGCTCATATTGAAATGAATTAGTTCTGAATTTGGCATATTCCAGGTGATACTCTCTTATGCCTACAGAATATTCAAACGAACAGCAAATGCATTGAATTGGAAAATGGAACGATGTTGGACCGTCAACCGAGGAGACCTCAGTCCTGTGGAGAGTTGTGAAGGTCAGGGTTGAGAGTTTTCAAGGTTTCCCAATTTCAAAATGATACAGGGAAATATTTTAAGGTATCGGAAATCCTCACTACTTTTACATCGATTTGGTATTCGCGCTTGCCGGTACTACGGCTGGATGGTTGTTCTTCTTAGGTACCCTCGTCAGGTTAGACCCTAGCACTATGCAATCATTTCAGTACAGTTACGGTATGGAAACTGTAACAGAAAGATTTTAGCGATACAGTATTCGGTGGTGCTATTGCGGTATTGGCGTTTGCCTTTAATCACGGTGAAGCTACGAGAGTGCAATGGACACCGCCACTTCGTGAATCGTTCGCTTTCCCAACGATTATAGCTCAAACTGTCGTCGTCACGTATATTTTGAAGTAAGTTTTTCGGGAACATTCGATTTTACTGGAGGCGGTCAGTAGAATCGGCTCTCTGTAGTCGATACGCCGCACGCGGCTGTCGCGGAACATTTGCTCCACGTTTGATACAACTCTAACGTTTTTATACAGCTCAATCGATATGCGATCATTATCTTAGGCATGATCCTGCTGTTAGTTCTTTTGTTCTTATAATTCTTACCTGCTGCTGCATTCTGCTACATTCCTTCGCGCGGCGTCCCTCTCGCCGCGACGCGACAATTTCGATGCTACTGTACCACACCCCGTTTTTACACCACTAATAGTGAGCGTATCATTCTAAAATTTACCGTTGGAGAGGCTCACTAAATATGGGAGTGCTTTGAAGGTTCCTGATGTGGCGATAGCCTAAATGATTCAATATTTTTAGAAATCATCGCTCAGGGCTTCTATATGGCCTGCCAATGGTGGTTTTCGGTTGTTTGTCGATGCTTTTCTGGCAGTTTTCTCAATTTGCCTTCTTCACTCAAGTCGGTTCCTTATTCGTGGTCTATACGTTTGACTTTATTCCTCGCCCAACCATGGAGACATTGCTCAAAGGACACCTGGTTGGTGAAATTTCTTCCTCTGTAGTTGCCTATTTGATTGCCTATTGTTTATTTTAACATCGAATGGACTACCGTAATCCGATCATTTTCAAAGGGAGTGACGTAAAATGAATTTTAATATATCAAACGAAATCATCATCCAGCATGCTACTTGTAACCACACCTGTGATCTGCCTAGTCCAAATAAGCTGGCCCGTGTTGGATTCGATTTATAACCCTCCAAAGATGCCTAGTCCTGACTAATTGATCATTAGCACCAGAATCTTAAATGGCCTGGGGTTTGTTGAGTAACGCTTGGAAGTCCGAAACGGCACGTCACGTCCTACGGGCTAACCGTGTTCGACGGAAGGCATTAATCCCTGCAGAGGCGATGGGTTGTAATAACGGCACGATCAGGGCTCCCACTATACCCCGGAACCGATCGTGAGAAGTTCACTTCTTATTACTTTTTCATATGGGGCTTACGCATCAACCGTTTATTAAGAAGGTAATTCTAGTTTGTGAAAATTCCCGTTTCATTCACTTCACTTGAGAAGATTAATCTCTTGTACGCCGCTTTTAAGATGTGTGCAGAAAACATTTACACCTTTGAATTATTGAAATGGGTGGATTGCAACCAGAACACCGGCCATGTCAGCGATCTTTTCGGCGCGGGAAACGGGCAGTAGGATCGGTTTTGTACAATCGATTCGCCGCACGCGGTTGTCGCGGACTTCGCTTTGCCGTTATTACAGCTCTAGCGTTCTTCATACAGCTCAATCGATATGCGATCATTATTCTAGGCATGATTCTACTGTTAGTTCCTTTGTTCCTGTATTTCTTACCTACTCCTGCATTCTGCTACATTCCTTCGCGCGCGGCGTCCCTCTCACCGCGACGCGACCATTTCGTTCCTACTGCACCACACCCTTTCGACGACGCAACAATCAGTGAAGCGCAATGTCGGAAATCGTTTGGATGATTCGAAACAGGTGAAACCAACGTGGGCCATAATCTAGGAGAAAATCTAACATCAGAGTCCGACGATCTTGGGCTCTCTTGAGCCGTGAAAGACGAGGAGAGCGTAGCAGCGCGGGAACTGGCTGAAAAGGTCATGCTATCTAGTCAGCGGTTGTTCGTTGTCTGGAAAAGCTTAACAAGTGGAAATCAATTGTCAATTTTCTCACGTAAGCAGCAAAGCCAAAGTATATGGTTTCCAGTTATTTGCTCCAGCGACATGAAAAGGCTCCATTTTTGAGGGATCTCTTCACAGGAATCAGGGCGCAGCCTGTTTTCAAAGCTTCACAGTAAACGTCTGCGTCTGGGATACCTAAAGGATATTGGAAGATATTTAGAAAGGTTCGCCCAATTAAGGCTGATGGCTTCACTGCTGCACTTCAGATAAAATGATTGCGAAAGGAGAATAGAATCGTCTCT